GGGGGGGGGGGGGGGAAGGGGGTCAGGGTGAGGGGATTTGGGGTCAATTTGAAGGGCTGGGCGCAGGCCGACGAGACGAGGAGCGGCCAAAATGGGCGCACGCAACTCGGCCGCGCGGCGCGCATCCGCCGCGGTCGAGGCGGGCGATGAGCGCGGTCGCAGCCGCGGGCTGGCGGCGCACCTGGCAGGCGAAGCCGACGCCGAAGCCGAGGACGATGCGGCCGATGACCAGCATAGGCAGCGCGACGGCCGCGGCGACGAGGGCGGTGCCGATGAGGAAGCAGAGGCCGCCGGCGAGCATGGTCATCTTGCGGCCGTAGCGGTTGCAGGTCCAGGAGCCGACCATGGCGGCGGCGGCGGCGGCGAGGAACAGGGACGAGGTGAAGAGCTGCAGCAGGTGGTCGTCGTACCTGGGTGACAGGGGGCCGAGGTTATGAAAGGGTGTTCAGCAGGTCTGCACGCTAGGAGGGTGGTAGTGTCAAGATGCAGGAGCGTCTGGCAAGGTGGTATATGATCGACCAGGCGGACCGAGACTTCAGTCTTGTGGCCGGTGTGCTGCAAGCGCCCCAGTGACACCCCCACAGGCCCTCCAGCCGCCGGGCGGGCGTACGGCCCACTGCCCCACAACAACTCAATGGAGTAACGCCTGGCCTCACTTGCAGAAGGCGTCGCTTGCGACGTTGCTCTCGCCGATGGTGGGGAAGAACTTGGGGCCAAAGTCGGGGTGCGCGATCACGCCGCCGGTGCTGAGGGGGGAATGGGCCGATTGGGGGGGGGAGCGTCAAGTGGTGCAGTCGTGCCGTGAGTGCGCAGCCATGCACGGCCCGAGAGGGCCGACGAGTTGCTGGCGCTAGGGACTGCCACATGCATCGCAGGCGGAGAGCAGTGGTGCAGGACGTAGCGGAGGGTCCCCGACGCAGCCCTGCTCACATGCCATTGTCGAAGCCTGTGGGATGCATGGCCGGCGAGGGGGAGGGGGGTGCACAACAGGGGGAGGGGGTGTTGGGCAAGCCCTGAAGCTTGGCTCGTGCTGGGATGCAGAGGGCAGGCGCTGTATAAAGCCCGCAGGCCCTTGAGCCTGCCGACAGATTGTATTAAAGGCGAAGCTGCTCGGCGCTGCGCGCTGCGCATGCGCGCGCTGCGGCGCTGCTGCGCCCACTCACCGAAGAGCAGGCCTCCTGAAGCGGCAACGATGGCAATGATGATCACCGCTGAAGTGGTCTTGCCCTCATACAAGGCAATGCGGTCCTTGTCAAACGAGGGGCCAGAGCCCACTGCGGCGGGAGCCATGTCGCTCGGTAGAAGCTGATACTGGAAATCTGACGCGTCGCTGACTCGGCGATATCCTAGCTGGCGGGGTGGCACCGGCGGCAGCAGCGGCAGCGGGTGGCGGAGATATCAGCTTGAGAGCGAGCTCATATTACGAGCGCGAGCAGTGCGTTGTTGGCCCTGTGTAAGCACCAAGTAACAAGATCTGTCCGCTTGGGCTTGCGGGAGCTTTGACAGTAGGCATCCGGGACGGGATGCTGCTGCTGTGGCGATGATACAAGACTGTTGCAGTAGATTGTGCAGGCTCGTGACCTTGGGAGCCTCGTGCACAGATTGTCGCGGCTCACCGGTTTGGCTTGGATGGTGTTGAGCAAGCCCGCTGAAATATATGACTCCTGTACCTGTTTCAAATGCTATCTGGGCGTGAAGTGGGGCACCGCGATCAAAGTTCAAAGGTTATACCGACCGACACACCCGGGTCACCCGCGGACTTCGACAGCGCAGAACACCTCTGCGCTGGCCGACGAAGGATTACGATTTGGGGTGGTGTCTCAAGTTTTGATGCCTGTGACAACACCAAGGCCGTCTATCGCCCGTGAACCCTCAGATTGCCGCCGCCCTGTGCCTGAGTCACCGGCCGACTGCAGCAGCCGAGCAGGCGATGCATTATCCCCTCGCTTGCCAGGTGACTTTGATGAGGCAACAGGCTACCAGCGCACTCCTGACCGAATTCCAAGTGATCAGCATAGCTTGTCATCCATCCAGCGGCACCCACCAGGTGCTGCGAGTGCCCCGCAGGGGTGATGATTCGTCAGGCAGGGCCCGCCACACTGTCGGACTGGGGGTCATCACCTGGGCCGCCCGCGGCGAGTCGTTCGTAACCAGCCTCATGTAACCCAGTGCTGTTGGCCTGCGGAAAGCCCTTACGCTACCGGCTTGCGCGCATCGCGCACGAGCATCCTTCCTGCGACGCTAGGGACGCCACCTGTTGTTTGGAGCAGGTCGGAGGTTCCCTGTCATTCGGCAGAGGGATGGGCGGCGGCAACCCCCAGTACCAGCCAGCCAGCGTGCCACCAGCCGCTTCATGCCACATGCCGGGCAGTCCTGTCACGGCAAGGGGGCATGCGCACGCCCCTCCAAGCCGCCAGGGCCGCGCGTTGGCGCCCTCCAGCGCCCATCATGCGGGTCGCAGCGGCTTTTCAACACGGCCGCGCCCAGGCGTGCCACTTGCTGGCCCAGGATGACCGCCGCCTGCGGCAGGTGGCCTCTGCATGCGGCGCATGCATTTGCCTGTTTGCGCTGAATGCCGTACAGTGTTGGGGTGACCCTGAAAGAAAGGGCCCGAACGCCGCCTGCCATGCGCATGCTGCTCTCAACGACCTGCGAGCCCTCTAAGCTTTCTGTTGGCCACGACCTGGCCACCCGACGAAAGTGCGTGGATGGTCGTTGTAGAAGGTATCGACCCTTAACAGGGCATGATGTTTTAACCGACGACCATCCCACTAGGCGAGCGGGGCTGGTGCATGTGACACCGAATGGGAGCAGAGGCGGCTGGTGCGAATGCCACGTGCGACAGCAAACTGGGCATGCGACCTTGGTGCTTGAGGCTTGACGAAGCTGACAGCGGCTTGTGCCACGTCGAGTTGGTCAGCACACTCATCAACCGAGGTAGAATGTGCCATTGCTCCGGTTTTGAGGTCGATGCTGCAAACTCAACGGTGGTCGGTGGTGTGCACAGCAGAGGGACAGCAGGCGGCATTCAGGTGGCTGGTTTTCACTCAGGCGCTAGCCTTATGCAGCACATCATCCGGCATCAAAGTACAATCAAAGCATAAGGGTGTGTAAAGGGATGTTGCCAGGCGGTCTCGCAAACTTTAGTCATGAACTGCCTGGCAGTCCCTCTAAAGCCGATTCAAATGCGCAGCGATGTTCTGTTGTGACAGCTCGTTCACATTTGGCATATTCCAGGAAATCCGGGGCGTAGCAGGTTACAAGCGCACAAATTACCTGCGGCAGCTGCATACCTCACGAGGTGGCGAGGTTCACAATCAGTGACCCGTAGGTAGCAAGTGTGCCATTGACTGAGCTCCTTGTCTCGAGTCCGGATCACTACAGCACATGTGCAATGTATAGCCATAGCGTGGTTTGTCAATCAGACAAATTGACTGTACCGTACTTGACTCGAGAGAGTGATCCACAGTATTGATCCGCAGTCGAGACGAGAACCTGCCCATTCACCCCATGGCGAGCGCCTGCCCACTTTTTCAAAAGATCAAAACACGTGGCTCGAGCAGCCACAACGAACAGAGCGTTCTCCCGCTGCGCGTGGCCCGGCCCCGGCGGGCGATGCGCGCCGCTGCAGCTGCGGCAGGGGCGGACGAAGCGTACCACCTGGGGCTCGACTTTGGAACATCTGGCGCACGCGTCACCGTGATTGATGGTGCGCTTGCATCTCGGCAGCGCGGGTATCTCAAAAGGCTGCTTTTCTACCAGGGGATCGTGCGTCGGCGTCGCCAGAGGCCCAGGTGGGGCTGATGAGGCCTTGCTGCCGCCGCCGCAGGATCTGGGGAGGTCGTCACAGAGGCCAAGAGCGGATACGGCGCAGATGCCGCGGCAGACTGGGCTGCTGCATGGGAAAGGTGCGCGAACGGAGCCATACGCTGGCGTGCAGCCGGCGAGGGCGGCTGCGGCAGCCTCGGGGGTTCAAGGGGAGGGGTGCGGCAGTGGTTGGCTGCGGGTGAGACCCTCGGCCCACACGGGCCTGCCTTTGGGGCAGCATCGCCAGACTTCCTTGTTTGGGACGTGAACCACCCTGTTGCAGGGTCCTGTTTGGGCTGCTGGCGTCCCTGCCGGAAGCGGCCCGCGGCCGCGTGGCGTCGCTGGCGATCGACGGCACCAGCGCAACCGCCTTGCTGCTGGACGCCGCCAGCGGGGACGTGCTGGCGGCGCCCAAGCTGTACAACGAGGCACAGGGGCCAGACGCAGTGGCCGCCGCCAAGGTGGGCGGAGGCACCGCGGCCTCCACCGGCGCCTCGCCCATCAGCTTTTTGTCTGTTTGCTTGAGTGGTTGTTTACCCCCGAGCAGTGCGCAAGTCGCCGTTAACACGGCCTCAACGGCCTACCAGGCGCGAAAACGCCACGCCGCGCCCACCCCCCACCCGCGCCGCAGACCGTCGCGCCGCCGGCGCACACCGCCGCTGCGGCGACCTCCACGCTCGCCAAGCTGCTGACCTGGCACCTGGGGGGCGCGTGGCAGGCCGCCGCGGCGCGCGGCACGGCGCCGGCGCTGCTGCACCAGGCGGACTGGCTGGCGTCGCTGCTGCACGGGCGGCGGGACACCAGCGATTGGAACAACGCCCTCAAATTGGGCTACGATCCTGGGCTAGAGGCGTACCCAGACTGGCTGCTGTCGCAGGCACGCCGGGGCGGCGGGGAGGCTGCATGGCCGGCAGGCCGGCCGGCTGGGAGGTTGGGGCGGCGGGGCGGGCCGGCGGCTGGCGCGAATGGTGGGCGCGCCGGCGCCAGGTCTGGACGCTGGCTGATGTAGTGCCAAAAACACGACCCTCAACAGCAACCAGTCCCAACTGGCCTATAACTGACAATGGTTGCACATGCAAACCCAGGAATATGCCAGCCTCTTGCCCATGCGCGTCGTTTCGCCTGGCGCGCCCGTTGCCCCCATCACCCCCGCCGCCGCGGCCCGCGCCGGCCTGCCAAGCGACGCCATCGTCTGCGGCGGCACCACCGACAGTATCGCTGCTTTTGTCGCCGCCGGCGTCACTGAGGTGGGGCAGGCCGTGACGAGTCTGGGGTCGACGATGGCCGTGAAGCTGCTAAGCAGCTGCCGGGTAGATGACTCGGCTTATGGCATCTACAGCCACAGACTGGGTGAGTAGGCACGTGCAGTGCAACTAGTGAAATAAGTTGGAAGTTGGTGGTTTGTTGGTCGAAGAGAAATGTTAGTTGTGCCTGGGCGTTGGGCCTCTTCACAGCTTTCACAGCTGCCACCTCTAAACCCCTGCATCCGGCCACCGCCTTGCCACGCCACGCCTCGCCTCGCCGGGCCGCCCGCAGGCGGCAGCTGGCTGGTCGGCGGCGCCAGCAACACCGGCGGCGCCGTGCTGCGCCAGTTTTTCACCGACGCACAGCTGGCAGAGCTCACAGCGCGCATTGAGGTCGCCAGGCCATCTGGCCTGGACTACTACCCGCTGGTAACCCCCGGGGAGCGGTTTCCCGTCAACGACCCGGGGCTGCGGCCGCGCCTGGAGCCGCGGCCGGAGGACGATGCGGTCTTCTTGCAAGGTGAGGCCGCGCTGGGGTGTGTGTGTATGTGGAAGAGGGGGGAGGGGCCTTGGGGCCTTGGCTCCCAGGGAGGAGGGGGATGAAGGCGGCGGTAGCGGCCACAGGTTCAGGTTCAGGCAATACGAGTGGCAGGCTGGGGGCTGCAGACTCGGCTCAGAGGCTAGAACCCGCGGGCGCGGGCGCAGCGCCACGGCGCTCAGCGGACCGCAGCGCGGCGCCCACGGCGCCGCCGCCTGTTGCTGTCGATCCGCAGGCATACTGGAGAGTATGGCGCGCATCGAGGGCGAGGCGTACGCGCAGCTGCGGCGGCTGGGGGCCAGCCCCCTCACGGAGGTCGTCACCGCCGGCGGCGGCGCGGTCAATGCCAAGTGGACGGCGATGCGGGCGGCGGCGCTGGGCGTGCCGGTGCGGCGGGCGGCGCAGGGGGAGGCGTCGTACGGCGCGGCGCTGCTTGCCAGGCAGGGGTGGCGGCAGCACCTGGCGCAGCGGCGGGAGGCGCTGCTTACAGATGGGTAATGCACCCCACGCACCCCCTCGGCTTGCTGCAGAGGGTGCGGCGCATGCCTGGGTCAGAACAGGTGTCTGCCCCTTCAGCTGCCGCCGAAAGCGTCAGCAGCCCGGCTGTTTTGACGGCTGCACTTTGCTTCTTAAGCAGCTGCTGCCGCTCCAAGCCCGTGTGCAGCCTGGACCCCGAAACACACATGAGCATGATGCTTGTTTTCAGGTGATTACAGGTGCACATAGTGCGCACGGTCAGAGGGTGATATGAGGGCAGCACTATGCGGCGCCAGCAATGGGCCAGCAAGCGCAATGCTCGCTGCTGGGCTCCATAGCCGAGTGCATATGCTGGCGTGTTCATGGGTCATCAATCGTGTTGAGGCGCGGGCGACGACGAGGAGTCAGGGTCTTGCGGTGCAAGGGTGAAAACGAGAAACCAAACGAGGAAAGTCACAATGCTGCATTCCCTATGCAAAGCCCAGGCCGCGGCGCTCTCCTCACACCGCCGCGGGCGACCGGAGGTCCACGCCGCCGCTGGGGTGGTGCGCCGCGCCGTTCGCCGCCGCGCCGCCGGCCGCGCCGCCCCCTCCGCTCGTCGCCTCGAGCCCAAACGCGCGCAGCCGCCGCGCGTCGGCCTCGCTGCCGGAGAGCAGGCGCACGGCGCCCACGCCGAGGTGGCGCAGCATGTGCGCCGCTACCGCGTCGTCTCTCAAGTCCGCCAGCGCCGCGCTCGGCCCCGCCTCGCCGCCGCCGCCGCCGCCCTCCGTGCCGCACTCCCGCTGCTGCTCCGCGTACGCCTGCAGCTCCGCCGCCATGCCGCCGCGGCCGCCGGCAGCGGTGCCGCCAAACTGCTCCTGGTGCGTCTTGGTGTACAGCAACACGCCAGCGCCCTCTGCCGAAATCGCGGCAAGCGACTGATCCAGGAAGCCCCCGCGGCCGCAGTGCAGCGACCCAAACACGTCCACGAGCGAGCTCTGCGCGTGCACCGCCGCGGGCAGGCCGCCGTGGCGCGCCGTCGCCGCGGCGCGCGCCGCGGGCGTGCCGCAGACGAGCGCGGCGTGCTCCGCGCCGTCGACCAGGGAGCGGTACACGTGCGCTGTGAAGTCGCCGTGGCGCGTGTACAGCGGCGCCGACGCGACGTGGGCCAGCAGCTGCTCGTGGCGCAGGCGGTAGCGGATGAGGTCGGCGATGGTGATGCACTTGAGGCCGTGCTGCTGCGCAAACGCGAGCAGCTGCGGCGTGCGCTGCATGCTGCCGTCGTCCTTGTTGACTATCTCGCAGAGCACGCCCGCCGGGAAGCTGCCCGCCAGCCGCGACAGGTCGACGGCGGCCTCGGTGTGGCCGGGGCGCACGAGCACGCCGCCGTCGCGGTAGCGCAGCGGGAAGATGTGGCCGGGGCGCCGGAAGTCGTCGGCCCTGGCGGCGGGCTCTGACATGGCGCGGATCGTCGCCGCGCGGTCGGCGGCGCTGATGCCCGTGGAGGTGCCCTCCTTCAGGTCGACGGTGACCGTAAATGCAGTGTACATGCTCTCGTTGTTCTCGCGCGAGTCCACCATCAGCGGCAGCCGCAGGCGGTCGAGGTCGGCGCCCGGCATGGCGATGCAGATGACGCCGCTGGTGTACTCGACCATAAAAGCCATGGCCTCCGTCGTGACCTTGTCACCCGCAATGATAAGGTCGCCCTCATTCTCGCGATCCTCGTCGTCCAGCACCACTACAAATTTGCCTGCCTGCAAGTCTTGCAGTGCCGAGGCTATACTGTCGAATCCCGGCGAAGGCTGGTCGAGAGAATCTGACAGCTGTGTGTATAGGTGCTGCTTGGCCGCTCCCGCGCGCACGGACGCCCTGGCACGCCGAACACCTGCACGCACCAGGCCCGCCGGCGGCAGCTGGACCCTATGGCCGAGGCTCGATGCCACACGGCTTGAGAAGCTTGTAAAATTCATATGGCGATGGGCGAGCGCCATGGCCGCGGGACGGCCGAGCAGATTAGTGCTGTGTGCAGAGCTCGGACACAGGCTGCGTATTCAATTGCTGCGTAGTTGTATCAGATTACAACAATTGCATGCGAATGAATGGGATTCGGGTGATCAGCAACCTGACCACTCTCTGTTGCGACCGCCGTCGCACTTCATCACCGCCATCAGACCTGACCGCCATGGCTCGTCCACACCGTAATCAACATGTCGTGCTCTGCAATCCAGAGTCCAGACGGCTGATACATGGCATACAAGGAGCTGCAATGCATCCTGATTTGATGCAGGCAGGCCTGATGTTCTTTGGGCATCGGTTACAAACTGTTTTGACCACATGGGACATTCTCGGACCGGCCTTGCTTCCAGGCATTGGATGCTGAACATGCAGTGCTGCTGTATGGCTTACTTGACGTCTCGTGATGACACAACACTTTCTAGCCTGGCACACTTGATGCCGCTACATGCCAATTGGAACGGCGTCACACTGCAACGATGTGGCGCACCACACCTTTGGGAGTGCGTATGATGTGTGCGTGCACGCATGCCACCTGACGCATCGCAGTCCTGACCAGCTACTCAGCAAGGAAGCAGTAACCTACAAAATAGCAGACAGCCAGCAGCAATGGCGTGCGACGCGCATCCCTGACAAGATCAGCCAACAAGCTCCTGCGCTGGCCCACAGCCCAGCGCCTCACGCGCCGCGGCCGCCGAGCACGAGCCGCCGGTACTCGTCGCTCTGCGCCCACCGGTCAATCTCGCGCGCGCGCATGACCGGCAGCGGGTGGGACAGCGCGCGGCTATGGGCTGTGCTGAAATACCATGAGACCAGCGATGACGCCGCTGCCTCGTCGTAGGAGCGCGCCTTCAAGGGGGTGATAAATATAATGGATGGGTTTTGTTATCCACAATATCACGTGTCGTGCAAAGCGCAGTGCGCAACAATCACGATGTCGGCTTCTCAAGGGGTCAGGTATGTCTGCTCATTGCAGACGGCCGCCCGCGAGCGCCTGGGGGCTGTGATGGACACAGCCAGGCAGGCATGCGTGCCCTGGGGCAGCGCCCACCTGCTTCAGAAACGAGTCCACGCTCAGCTCGTGCGCGAGGGAGGGGCAGCCGCCCGCCAGCTTCATAAGCGCGCCTGGGGGGGGGGGAGGTTGCGGCGGCGCGCCGAGTGTTGCCCGCTTCATTGGGAGCGCCGGCCGTCGTGTACGCCCCCCCTCTGCGGCTGCTATGATGAGCTCTGACAAAGGCCTCGGCCTGAGGCGAAAGCCTCCTCGCTGAAAGCCGCCGTCATTAGGCGCGGCAGAAGGCTTGCATGGCTTGAGCGCTTGCATGGCGCGAAAGGCGCCCATGCAGGAGGGGCCTCACCTACGACCACGGAGCAGTCCTGCACCGCAAGCAGCGCCGCCCTGTCGCAGGTCAGCTCCACGGCGCGCCGCCACCGCAGCAGCGAGTTCTCCAGCGTGTCTGCAGCGCGCATGTGTCCACACGCGCGCAGGTGTTTGTGCTTTTGGGTTTGTGTGTGCGTGCGTGCATGCATGCATGCGTGCGTGTGTGTGTGTGTGTATGTGTGTGTGTGTGTGTGTGTGTGTGTGTGTGTGTGGACGTTCTTGCATCGTGCATCAGTGCAGCATTGGCAAGACGTGGTCGAGCCAAACCACCAGGCAGCGTAGGCGGAGCCCGGCAGAGCGCACGTCATATTTGCTGCCCGTAACCCACCAGACACCACGGGCAGCAGCGACGCCGTGCCGTTGGCGAGCACGTTGGCCAGGGTCAGCCACACCCCGTGGTCGCAGGCCACGTGACCCAGCTCGTGGGCGATGACGGCCTTCGGAAAGGAGGGAATATAGCGGTTTGGCGAGGGCGGAAAGCATGCAATTCAGGCGTGGCAACTGGCAGCCCTGCCGAGGGAGGGCGCGGGCTGCCTGCGTGGCACCATTGCGGGGAGCTCAGCAGTATGACACTGGTTCCCCAAGTGCCTTGCCATCGCAAAACCCTCACACGCAGCGGCACAGGCTGGTGATGTGCGCCGGTTTCTGACGCTGTGCGGGGGCGGCCTGTGATTGACCGCGGAGCATGTGCACATGGACCCGCGCACCTTGAGCTCCTGCGGGGAGAGCAGCTCCACCAGGGCGGTGTGCACGACGATGAAGGGCCGCTTGCCGTTGATGGCCAGAGTGTACGCGTTGGGGCTGCGGCGCGGAGGGTTGAGGGCCCAGGAGAGCCACCATCAGGGTGCCAGGCGGCAGGAGAAGGGCTGGCGCTTGGCGGCAACACTCAAGCTGCTACCGCTTGGAGTGGCTTCCTATCTGAGTGCTGGGGGGAGGGCTGCTGGGGCCCCACTTGAACGTGGGGCGCATCGAAAATTGCGCCCTCACCTGGGTGACTGCTTTACGTACAGGTCGGGCACAGTCTCCATTTGCAAAGTGGACGCCTGCGAACGGAGCAGATCAAGAAGCGTGAGCTGGCAGCAATTCTTGTGCAACAGCCCCACGCCCGCAGCCCGCATTCGCGCCGGCCGCCCCTGGAGCAGCGGGGTGGTGGTCACGCCCCTGCCGCATTGCCGGCCCTTGGGCGCCCGCGAAGCTTGCGCACCGCGTCGAGCAGCAATGCGTGTATGGACCGCAGCTGGTCCGGGCCGGTCTTGATGCTCGAGGCCATGTTCTCCATCACCAAAATCTGCTCGGCCACAGGGCCTGGTTTTGGAAGGATCAGATGGTAAATGAGACCATGTGTGCGGGGGCAGATGTGAGAAGTACCACGTTGAAGCTGCCCGTTGAAGCGGGAAGCTTTTGGGCGCTCGGGCAGCCGCAGGCACCAGGCAATGCGCTTTTACCCCGTGACAACAGCTCTAGATCCAGAACTTGAGCGCATGAGCACGGCCGTGATCCTGAATTCACTGTGCATGAGTGCACCGAACAAAAGCAATCTGCCCTCGACCGCCCACCCATGATGCTCTTGGCGACCATCTCCACCCCCGGCAGCCCCCTCAGCAGCTGCGTGTTCTGGCGGTCCAGGGGATGCCGGAAGTCGTCCGGCTTCAGGCATCGCCGCAGGGCCGCCGGCTGCCGGCCCCTTTGCCCCGGCGCAACCTGCCCTGATGGCTGGGGCTGCAGGCGCACCACCTGCTGCTGAAGCTGCTGCGCCGGCGCTGACGGCTTGCCGCCGAATCGGGGTGTGCTGCTGCCGTCGTCTCTCCATTGGAGTGGGCGCATACCAGGGGCGTGTTGGCTTGCGGCTTCGGCGGTGCACGGTCTATGCTGCAGACGTGTATTGCGGCGAGCTGCAGCTAACGGTCGAGGGCGGGAGCCATCGCACGCTTGGATATGCCTTAAGTTCACTTGCATTCTGGTCAGCAAAGGTGGCGTTTCGGGTGGATATTTCTCCCGTTGAGATCACGATATCTTGCAGGACCGTGAGCTTTCGGCGGTCTATAGATATTGCACACAAAAGGACACGTATTTATTGTGTGTGGCCCACGCGTACTGGCTGCTATTGATGACAGGGTTGTTGAGCGTCTGCCATGCCACCTTGTCGAGGACCAGCAAATCTGCCGCCGATTGCCGCTTTTGCTGGCTGCGTCAGTGGCCGCGTGTCGTCGACGCTGCGCCATCACACTGACACTGGCCACACCTGGCAACCGAGCCGTACACAAGTTTGCAGGAAGCCTTTTTCAGAGCGCATGCATTCATGTGTGTGAGCGTGTCCTTGTAGACAAGGCCCACACAACTGTACATCTGTGTCCTTTTGCGTCAGCCACGAGGGTGCGCATAAAGGAAACTGAGCGGCGTACACAGCCGTGCGCTCCAAGCGGCTTCGTCATGCGCCGCCCCCTCAAACACGTGCGACCCATAGTTGAGACCCTGCGGTGGCGAAGGCGCATGCATGCCGGCCCAATCCTTAGTTTTGAGTCACGACGGCCGTCTCCAGGTGGCAGAAGTGACCTCGATCCTGCAACGGCCCCGCCATCGCCAGCACACATGTTGCTGCACCGCTGGCCCGCATGTCAACAGTTGCATGCCCAAACCCCTCGCTATCTGTCCCGTACCATTGCTCACATCCCTGAAGCCTTCTCCCAGATGCAATGGCTCGCGCACGCAGACACGCACGTATGCATGCATGCACACACCCACCCACGCACGCACGCAATCAACACGTGTGCCCGCACCTCCTGAAATCCTGCCGCCGCCATGATCTCATCCACCTGCTCTTGGTACTGCCGATATTCAGCATCCAGCCCCTCAGTACCATGGTCCATGTAAATTCTGTGGCTCCGAGGGTCGGGCAGCAGCCGGCGGCCCTCCGGCGAAGCCAGCCACGCGGCCACCGCGCCGCCACAGGCGGGCCAGTGGGTGGACAGGCACGCAGCCGCGCCAAAGACCTGCGATTGCGATTGTCAGTCCGCACACCGTTGGGCAGGCGCCTGGGCGAGCGGTTGGGCACTGATTGGAGGCAGGCATATCCAGCACGAGCCGCATACACCTTCTGCCTTGATTGTGGCTGTGGCCGCGGCGGTGGCCCATCCGAAAGCACGCGCGAAGCCCACACACTCCCCGTTTCCCGCTGTCTGCATGTCTGCAGACCTCGGGGTGGCGGATCATGGCCCAGAGGCTGGCAAGGCCGCCCATGCTGCTGCCCATGACGGAGGTGTGCTGCGGCCCGGGCAGCGTGGGCAGCATGCCATCAAGCAGCGGTTTCAGCTCTTCAGCCAGAAACTTTGATGGGGCCCCATGTAACAGTGGTGGTGAGGAAAGATTGGAAGTGTTTGTGAATTGTCATGTGGGAACGGTGGACGGAAGCTCCCGCGCAACACGGGAAAGCTGCGAGCAGGGCCCGCCGCAATGGGTTGAGGCATGCATGCATCAGCTAGCGGTGGCTGCCGCAGCGTGCGAGGCGAACCGCACCTTGGCATATGCATCGCAATCCACAGGTGCTTCGGCAGGGTCACAGCGATCTCCCTCGGCCAGGGACCTGCAGGAGGGTGAAGTGAGCAGTTTGCTGCAGCAATAGGTTACGCAGTGCAAGGTGGGTGCTCCCCTGATATATGTAGATACGTCGCCGCCATTGCCACTCGATACTCGCACATGCCGTCCAACCTGATATTGCTACGGCGTACGCCCTTGCTTTCGCTCACAGCTGCTGGGCAGGAGAGCGTGCCGACGGTGGCGCGCCAGGGCGCCGCATCACAGGCGGCATGTACTCTTCCATGCGTTGCTGCGTGTTCCACACCGCCACCACAAACGGCAGCGGCGCGTCGTCAAGGACGCCCTCGGTTTGCAGCCGCAGCAGCGCGGAGTCGACACCCCAAGGGACCCCTGTGTATGACTGATGGGAATGTGTGTAGGTGTGCGTATGCATGTTTGTGCATGTGTGTGTGTGTGTGGGTGTGTTCATGCGTGTTCGATGCCATTGTTAATCAGACCCCCTCTGTTGAATATATGTTCGTGCTCTGGCATCCGACTGGAATTTGATCATCCAGCCATCCATAATCAGGCCCCGCTGGAAGCCTGCAGATGTCAGCAGTGAAACCTGCACTGGCATAGCTGCGCGACCATGCATGTCGCCAAGGCCACTAAGCAAAAGTGCCTGTCGGGACGCCGTGCAGGCCAGGCTCGGTCTGCCGTCCCACCGTCTCAGGGTTGAAGACGTTTTGGCCGTCGTGCATGATCAAGACAGGGCGCTGGGTGCCTGGGTCACCTGATGGGACGACAGACGAGGGGGCGCCCCATTGGGCCAGTGCCGTGTCAGGCAAACAGGGTGGCAGGTGGAGTGCAAGCCGGAGGGGACCAGCAACAGCAGCCGCCACCGCCGCCGCCGCCGCCGCAGCAGCAGCAGCAGCAGCAGCAGCAGCAGCAGCAGCAGCAGCAGCAGCAGCAGCAGCAGCAGCAGCAGCAGCAGCAGCTGCAGCAGCAGCAGCAGCAACAGCAGCAGCAGCAGCAGCAGCTGCTGCAAAGGAATCAGCAGCAACAGCAGCCACAGTTGAAATTATCAAGTGGCTGCAACGCCGTGAACGACCCCGTTGAGTAGTCACGGGCTGTTTGCAGGCTGAAATTTGCAGGGAGCCGAGCCACCGCAATCGCACATGTATGCCCCCACTGATCAATCCAGCAGTGCTAATTCAGCCAGAAGCCCACCAGGCACCCATATGTCGACCCGTCGCGGCGCCACAAAACGGCTCTCCATAGCGTCAAGGGTCCGAAAAGTGCCCGGCCGCGGTAGCTGCGTTAGCTGCTGGTCGGGTTGCACACCGCCGCGTGAGCAGGCACATGCCCGTGCCGGCACGGGGCGCCTTAAGGAACGCCAAGGCACTCGAACGCGCTCTAGAATCAGCATCTGTGGCTCGCAAGGCTGATGAGAAACACATTGATCAGATCACGGCGTATTCCCGCCTGAAAATCTACGCTTGCGCAACCAGCGTGCGTACTATCCCAATCAAGATGACACTTAACATTTATCTTGTGAGCGAACATCAATAGTGAAGGTGCAGACGTAACATGCTGTGTGGTGACATCATCGATCCGTGGGACGGCGACGCCGGTGTGTTGCAATGCCACAACGAGCTTGGCTGTTACGCCCCACATACGGTACTTCGCATGGTTGCAGCAAAGAAATTAACTTGCAATGGGGTTGCTCAACCACACCCAGCAATGTCATCAGGTTTTCAAACACGAACAAGTTCACAGCAGGCTTGCACCACCCTCAATTAACATTGATTTGACACTTGGTGCATCGGCATGTTCAATTAGAAGAGTGACCAAAAGAGCATGTTTCAAAGGTGTGGGTTGTCAACGAGTGCCATTGATAGGGTCAGGTTGCAGCTGCAAACTCGCGAAGCACCAGCTTGTAGCCAGCACCCGCAGCACATGGCAGCAGTATCTCTGGCCCACGCAAGGAGAGCGTTAAAGAGCAAAAACGTTCTACAAGGTGTCAGCAGACAGCATTCTTGTCTGGCCGCCGCTTGCACTTCATTGGGCCAGCATCATCCCCTTCAGGTCACGACGACGGTGCTGTCCGCCTTATGTTGTAGTCATGCAACAGCGAGGCATTGCAGTTGCTTGCCCAGGTGATGTTGTGTCGTACGTGTGCAAGCCATGTTTTTTGCAGCCATAGCTTGGGGATACGATGCTTCGCCACACGACCTGCACAGACTAGCTCGCGCCATGATCTGAAGCGACTATCGCGGCCATGCGTGGCCGGTTCAAAACGTCATTAGGCTAACACGCCGCATCGGGTGGCAAGGGCGGTGCCAGGCTGGGTCGCGGGCGCGGCGCTGCCAGCGCCGCCGCTGCCAGTGCCGCACCCCACTGCGCTGCTGAGACGGCCAGCACCACCTTGGCCGACGCCGTCGCAGCGCCGCGCACCACTGCCGCGGCGCTCTCTTAGCCTGGTGGGCGGCTGTCAGACCTGGAAGTCATGCGAGCCGCAGCGGGGCACGTGAATCCAGGGGAGAGCTCTAATCCGCCTGATGAGCCGCACTACGCCGAGGCGGCCCCTCGCGCACCGCCCCCAAGCGCTGGCCGCGGAGGGGCCGGCGCCGCCGCCGACGCCGCCGCTGCGGGCGCGAATTCGGCAGCAGCGGCGCCGGCGCGGCGCGGCGGCGGCGGGGCCGGAGGCGAGCGGGACGATCACGGAGGGTTCGATGCGGACGGGGAAGATGAGCTGCAGGGTCCATATGAGACTGAGGTTGACGAGGACGAGGAGGACGAGGAAGACAGCGATGATTTGGCCCTGGATCTCGACCTCGGCCTCTTCCACAGCCAGATCGACGAAGCCATTCGCGGCACGCAGCGCGCCGCCGCGCCTGCGGGGCCGGCCGCCGCGCGCGCGTTCCCGTGCGGGCGGCGAGGGCGGCGGCGGCGGCGCCGCAGCCGCGGCCTGGGCTGGGGGTCGGGCAGCGATGAGGGCGCCTCTGAGGATATTGGGGGCAGCGAGGGGGAGACAGACAGCAGCGACGGCGGCAGCGGCAGCAGCAGCAGCAGCTTGGGTCTGTCTGATCTTGACTCAGACGAGGAGGTCGCCGCGGCGCTGGGGGCGCGGCGCCATGGCCACGCGGGCGGCGTCGGCAGCGCCGTCGCCTGGCCACGCGGCCTTGGCCCGATGGGCGGCGCCGGGCGCCGCGGCGGCCGCGGGGCGCGCGGCGCGGGGGGCGGCGGCAGCGACAGCGGCGGCGAGTCCGGGTGGGAAGAAGAGGCGCTGGCGGCTGCAGAGAGGGAGGCGCGCCAGCTGGCGGACGTTCGGCGGCTGCTGCAGCTGCTGGCGGATAGGGAAGAGCAGGACCGGCGCACGCTGGCCGCGCGGGCGCCAGCGCCGCCCGGGCGGGGCCGCGGGCGGCCGCTGGGCCGCGCTGCGGGGGCCTTCGCAGGCGCCGGAGCGGGCGCGGGCGCAGGCGGCGCTTGGCGCTCGCCGCAGCCAGCGGCGCGTCCGGGGGCGCCCGTCGGAGAGGCTCGGGGCGGGCAGCAGCCCCCCCTCCAGGAGCAGCAGCAGCAGTACCACCAGCAGCAGCAGCAGCAGCACCAGCAGCAGCAGCAGCCAGGAGA